AAATCTAATTACACCGGAAGCTGGACCATTTAACTCCTCTCTTTAAACTAAACCAAACAGGTTATCCCATTGTGACAATTACTAACTCAGTATTACACTCAGAGGTCATTGTCCAAGGTTTCAAACTGCATATTAAAACTCCATTCACTAAAGATCCCTTTAAACGCTTACATTAATTCTTGTAAAACAGTGTTAGCTAATTCCAGATATTTGTGGATTGCATTCCCCAGCTATGAAGCTGGCTGAGCATCATGGGGAATGGAGTCCACAACACCTGCAGTGCCAAAATGAACTTCCACTACTAGGGAAAACTGATCATTGAAATTTATTTTACAGGAGATACTTTGTAAAATCCAGAAGGATTCTAGATTCTGGAGCAGAATACGTCACATGGATACGGGTTTTAGTTTGTAAAATCCAGAAGACAATACACACATGAGGAGAGACTCCATGTAATGAACAGATAAATCACTGTCAAAAAATTACAATATTTCAAAAAATTCTATAAACTATTATACAAGTATTTTTTTCAGTGACTTGTGGTACTTAGGCACACAGTGATTATAAATAAGAGACAGATTGTAGTGAAGGGATTGTTTACTACACAGTAAGCAGTGTCAATTGAGAATCTGTTTACAGAAAGGTTACTATAGCAGAATAGGGAAAGCAATGAGTTAATCCTCCCCCATTTTTACTACTTAAGTCATCATTTTGCATGTAGTTTCAAAACACATTGCAGCTCACTGTTTTTTTAGAATAACCAGCTAAAAAAGATTCTGGATTTATTAGCATCATTGCATAGGTATACAGACAAAACGTGAAGGTAGGTATAGCTCAATAACCTTCTATTATACACATTTTGAACGTGTTCCAAATAGCTAATGTATGTGTTTCTTTTTTATAAACATGAAGCAAAATAGTTGCAGTTGCTTAGTTAATCCATAAAACATTAATATTTAAATGTAGTAAGGTCATGCCTCTTGTTTATTGGGAGTCATCAGTGTTATTCTTTCCTACCGCCAGAGGGAGCGCTTCACTTAGATATAGTCTTACAGTGTGCACCTGCAAGAGGGGTATTCAGAACAGATCTTGGTAGGGGAACAGTTAATGGACATGTTATGGGTTATTATTATTATTATTATTTGTATTTTTGGCATTCATATAGGGCTAACGTATTCCGCAGCACTTTAGAATATTATGAAAAGGGGGAAATTTAACAATAAATGAGACAATTACAAAATGTTACAGGAACAATAGGTTGATGAGGACCCTGCTCAAACCACAGTCTCTAAAGGGTTGAAAAGGATAATAAGGAATACATATATCCTTCATGATTCTGATATTTTGAGAAGCATTTTGGGAAATTACAATCATCTGGAAATCAATGTAAATTTCAAATTTACACCAAAATAGCAGGAAGCTTAGCTGACATATATTTATTAAATTTCCCCTTTCTCATAATATTCTAAAGTGCTGCGGAATAAGTTAGCCCTATGTAAATGCCAAAAATAAAAATAACCCATAACATGACCATTAACTGTTCCCCTACCAAGATCCGTTCTGATTACCCCTCTTGGAGGTGCACACTATAAAACTATATCTAAGTGAAGCGCTCCCTCTACCTGCTTATGATTGGTGGGAGTTACATAAATGGGTAGCAACTGCTATTTGCGGCGGATTTGCTTAATTCAGCCCCTCTTCATTACTGATATGCCATATGCCGGAGGACTGAGTGATCTTACCTTAAGTAATACTTGTTGGGAACTCAAAGTGAATTTTACATTTAAGGCCAAAGTGTCTGAGCTGGAAGCATCTGTGATTTTGAGACTTCTTCCAATTCAGCTATTTTGGCCTTAAATTTGAAACTCACTTTAAATTTCCCCAAATTCTCCCTTTAGTAAGTAATTCCGTATGTGTTAGCAGAATGAGCCAAATTATACTACAAACAACTGCATGGAATTGAGGATTTCTACAAGCAACAATATAACTAACAATTCCTTTTAAATTAATTACACCAATAAAATGTACAAGCATTGTAAACAAAATCTATCAGAAGTGATAACATAAAAAATAAACATCTGTATTTGAAATGTCAATTTAGAGGTACCTTAAATAAACACACACATACACACTGCAATGTCCATATGGAACATTATAATTTAATAAGACACTTGACACCTAGTAGTATCATCAATGCACCTGGGTGTCTGTCTGTAACCTTCAATGTACAATGTATTAAAACAATCCCTCAAAGGAGCCGACGGTTTTGTTGTTAACTGTGTGATTACGGCCTATTCAGTTTGACATTGCAAGATTAACAATGGAATCGTGGTATAGCCTCAGATCTTAAGACAATTACATTTTCAGACTAAGGTGGCATAAGCAGCAAAAACAGGGTTTGTGAAATTTGGATTTGGATCACACTCATAACTGTCGGGTGATACTGAAAGTCAGAAAACATTATCGAGCAGTTTCTGACATGAAGGCCTTTGTTCCTATGTGAGAGATTTAACAAATTCTCTGCTTGTAAACCACATGTTAGGGGTGCAGAGTTTGAAACCAGTCAATTTTCTGACAGTGAGTAAATCACTACAGTGTTTTTTTTTCACTTTAGTGAATAGCTTTGTTATTTAACTTAAACACACGTCACACATCCAGGCCAAATTATATAAACCTGATCAGAACTTTATTTTTCACTAACCCCATTTACTTACTATTGATTAATTCCCAATGGGCTTTTTTTACTAAATAGGGTGGGAGTTGCAAATTATAGGCCAAATATAAATATTGAGAATATAATTTAGCTCAGTTTTACTCAGTTCGGCTATTTTCATTGTTTTTAAGTCACAGCTATTTATTTTAATACTTTATCAACATCTTTCAATCAACAGTAGACATTCCCCCAACCCATCTCCCCACAGGCTATAAATATATCAGTAAATATTTACACAGCAAGAAAAATAGAAATATACAGATCATCCATAATGGCTTAAAACATAACTAATTATACAAAACCAGATGCATTATATAGTACAGTTTTGCATCTAGAACTCCCTACATTAAACTCTGGAGGAGAAATTAAACTAAATAAAAAAAGGAAAAACCCCAAACCAATGACAGGTAAATGTGGTTTTTCATTACGTGTCTACCCAAAGTCTCCACATCTCAGTTCAGCTACTTTGACCAAACCATTGCAATTCTATTTTGAATTCTGTACAACCGTGTTTACTGAATTACTCAAAAATCGTTATTCAGTAAATTCCATTTTATAGTGAATTAAAATCTGAATTGCAAAATTAAGGCCAAAATATCTGATCTGAAAAGATTCTCCAATACAGCTATAAACACGGCTTGGTTATTTTAGCCTTCATTTTGCAATTCAAATTTTAATTCAATGCAAATCTGAATAAATCTCACTATCTTGAAATAATTTATGGATGACGAGCAAATTAGATGGCTTGAAACATAGCTCACCTGGAGATATTTTTCTGGTTTTACCCTTTTGGCCTTACAGTCACAGTTCTTTGCTAAATTCTCAAAAGGTCACAATTTAGCAAATTATCCTGCCTTCATTTTTTTAGTTTGGAAATTTTGTGGTAACCCAGGGGTTAATTAATAAAAAAAGGACTTGTAGTGAATTTGCAGTTGACCTTAAAATAGTGGTGTTGTATTTTTTGTCTGTGTGTTTTTAATTTTTGTAGAAATGTTGGTGTCAGTAACAAAGAAAATCAATATTTGAAATGGACGGTGTAGAATTGTCATTGTCATGCAATATAGCATGTGCTAGATAAATATTCGCCTCTCATGATATTGTGAATGTGTACTCAGATAAGACTCTCTTTACTAAAAAGATATGAAAAAGGGTACATAGTACTAAGCTAGATTCGCAAGAGATGCTATTTGGTTTTCTCCATGGGTAATGAGACTGGCTGTGTACTAGACTATGTACCCACTGCAGTAGTGGAAGAAAGTATACTAGCATTCACAGTCTGCAGTCTGCTGCAGTACCATGGAAGCCTAAAGAGTCTGTATCTCCATCTGGTTGGTAGAATCACTCTCAGAAGGGGAGATCTTTTAGCCAGATCGGGCCCTGCCTCAAGTCGCTGGTTCTTTATTCTGTTTATTTATTTTTTTAATGGAAAGCCAAGCATCAGGGTCATCATCCTATTGCACCTGTCTGTCCTATTTTACCCTATACTGAACCTCTTATCAGGTCCTGTGTTAACTGAAATGCTCCTCATACTGGAGGCCTGAGAGTGTCATTTTATTTTATTTTTTTACACTTATTTAACACCAATAAGATATTATTCCCCCCCACCCCCCAAAAAAAAAAAAATCATCAGTTAAAATATGAGAGATTTTATTCTGTTCAATTGTGTGTCTGACAGTATACTCTAGAAGATGGCGATGTAAGGAAACGTGCCGTGGGCTCCAAATATGACTATGCTTGGCACTTGGCCTTTGGTTTATAGCTCAGGCATTGTTTTTGTTTGTCTATATTGTACTGGTCCACGCTTGCTCTGTATGGACCTAACCTAGTTTTTGTGTTTACCTGCATTTTGCCATGTGATGTGTTAAAACAGTCTTTGTTATGGGCTCTGCTGAAATATCTTTAGACTTCAAACAATTAGTGGTGAGTATCTTTTTTTTAATTCAAAAATATTATGTTTGCATAAACTGCATGTCGGGAACACAATTTAGTGGACAGAGCCCTAGATGCAGATAAATGCTGAAGGCAAAGAACCAAGTTCGCAGTACCAAAGGATCAGACAAAGAGAATAGTCAGGGAAGCCAAAGATCAGGAAAAGGCGGCACAGGTTCAGAAGCGATGATACAGGCAAGGGAATCAGGAGCAGGTTTAGGATCAGGACACAACAAGAGAGTCTCTGAAGGTCTTTACACAATCAGCAGCACAGTACAACCGAGAGAAGAGTAAAGGGTGTATGCGACTTAAATTGGGGAAGTGAGTGGTCTTGTTAATTGACGTTCCACTCTGGCCTTCACCTCCTGTACATCCAAAAGGCTCTGTGTCGGTGTGTGTGCGCCCTTTGATTCTCCTGAAGTTCTACCTTCTGTGTGGTCGCACATGGAAGCAGCAGCTTTCTCACAAACAGACTTCTGTTCTCGCTGTGTTCGGGAGTCGGCGTCCGTACGAACGGAGTTCTGTCTACAGTATAGGTGAGTAGCGTTCGCATGAACAGAGGTGGTGGATGTTCTTCCTTCTGTATCGGATAAGTGGCGTTTGTGCGAACATACGTGTCACATGAACGTGAGCGGTCGGCGTGGGTGATTGAACCGACCGCACTGCCTGGGGGGAGTTCGCGCTCCGACATGGCGTCCTCGTGGAGTGAGTGAGAAACGCAGTGTGGGAGCGCGAAGTGGGTGAGTGAGGGGAAAAGGACCTGATAATGCATTATATCCATAAATAAATAAAACCAGTTGACTTAGCAGGTTAAAGAGAAACTCTGGGCACCAAAACAACTTTGATGCATTTGGTCCCTCATTAGTATGCTGTGTTTTTTATATCCATAATTCCGTATGGTTTTGAAAAAAAAAAGTTTGCAGCATTCGTCAGCATAAATCCACCCACTTAGCCACACTGCCTCCTTTCAGAATATATATTCCTGATTCTCTACACTGTGGATGTGTACGCAGATCAGCCACTGAGAGCTATACCTGAGTAAGGCACCTGTGATCTTCATGCACAGTTGTCAGACATACTAAACTGCATTTCCCTAATGGTGAGTACACTGATGTGGGTGAGAATATAATATGCTTGTTAGAAAATATAGACGAAAAGTAAGGGTATTTAAAATAATATATAGAAATGGATAAAAATGTATAAATACATATTGATAAATACAACAGAAAAAGGGAAACCTAATTAAAATATAAAGAAACATGATAATTTGCAGTGTTGGTATAGAATTTGGTAACTAAAATAAAAAATTAAAAATGTGTATAATTTGTTAAATTTGTTAAATTTTATCACATTGAATTTTAGGCATACCATGAAAACATAAAACATTAAAAATAAATTGTTGTTTGTTTTTAAAAACATATTAAATATATTGGCCATGGATATATTTATATAATGTTATCACATCCCCTCTGAGGCTCCATTTTTTAAAACTAAAGAGGTTTAAATTTATTAACCTTTCTTTGTGGCTAAAATGTTCCATTCCTTTTATTTATTTTGATGCCCGCCTCTGCACTTTTTCTAGTGCAATAATATCCTTCTATAGAACAGGTGCCCAAAATGGCACAGCATATGCAAGATGTGGTATTACCAATGATTTCTAAAGAGGCAAAATTATATTCTTATCCTGAGAATTAATGGCCCTTTTTATATCTGACAATATATTACTGGTCTTAGACATTGCTAATTGACATTGCATATTGTTGTCTAGTTTGTTGTCTATAAAAATTCCCAAATCCTTATCGTGTGTTGTTATCCCTAATTCACTACCATTTATGGGTATAACTTGGTTCGAGTTGGTGGAAAAAAGATCCTATGCTAATGTTCAATATATGCCTTTTGAAATACCCTGGGGTGTCTTCGTTAAGAAATGTGGGGTAGTTGGAATAAGCAACCTGCTAAAAAACTTCAAAGTGGGACATGGATCCAGCATAAAACTTTAACGTTTGAAAAAAAAACTGGAATGGCTGTGTCTCAAATGTGCCCTTTTTAAGTACACATATACCTGGCGAAGGTACATACTGGGACATTCCTGCACTCAGCCGTAGCACACAAAAGGTTTGCAAAATATACAATACAAACTCATTGTGTGTCAAAAAGGCAGAACAAAAATGCTTCTTACCACTACACTTGTACAAGCAAGCAGAAAAATTATTTCACGCTAAGGTTCAAAATATGCCTTTTGAAATACCCTGGAGGAGCCTGCTTGCCAGCCTCCTGCACACAGACTATGGGCCATGCAGGGAAACCTGTAAAAGACTATCAAACTTGATTAACTGTTAGCATTGATTTCCCTGGAACTGTTTTGGGAATAGGACCATGTGCACGGTCAGTCAAAACTATGACTTCCAGGAAATTCCTGAACCCCCGAACAAATCTGAGTGATTTTTGGATATGTTGTTAACCCAGATCAGAGCTATCAGGGGATGTGACTGCTATGTTTTGGGGTACTTTGGGGAATTATCAGAAATGTGTGTTTTTCCTGCTTGGAGATAATTGAGTTGATACAGTAATTAACTCAATTATCTCCCAAGCAGAGGGGAGGGATTGTTTGCCTTGTGTGGGAGTGCCTTACATTGTAAATGTGTTGTTATTGGTTTGGAACTTTGTGTCCCTGTGCCCAACATATACCTGACAAAGGTATATACAAGGCTTTTGCTCTATTCAGACAACATAGCTGAGTAACATATAAAGTATTTATAGAGCTGTAGCACACATAAGGTTTGCAAAATTTTCAGTACAAACTCACTGTATGTGTCAAAAAGGCAGAAAAAAATGCTTATTACCACTAAACTTTGTACAAGCTAGGGAAAATATTATTTCAAGCTAAGGTTCAAAATATGCCATTTGAAATACCCTGGGTGCCTTTTTTAAGAAATGGTATGTCTTTGTGGCAGGGCCGGTCCAAGACATTGTGCTGCCTGGATCCAAGTATAAAATGCTTCCCCACCAACAAACAATATATATGCTTCTGCAATAATAGTGTCTCTATGTGTGTGTGCTGGGGATGAAGTATGTGTCTGTGTGTGTGCTGGGAATGTAGTATGTGTCTGTGTGTGTGCTGGGGATGTAGGATATGTCTGTGTGTGCTGGGGATGTAGCGTGTGTCTGTGTGTATGCTGGGGATGCAGCTTGTATCTGTGTGTGCACTGCAGTCAATACACTTACCTATACACTGTGTCTGTGTATATGCATGTGTGTTAGTGTTTGTATCTGTGTGTCTGTATCTGTGTCAGTGATTGTATCTGTTGTCTATGTATCTGCATGTGTGGCAGTGTTTGTGTGTCTGTATATCTGCATGTGTATCAGTGTGTATGTGCAACTGTATGTGTGTCATTATATGTATCAAAAACTGATACACATGCAGATACTGACACACATACAGATGTACAGACACACTGACATGCCTGCAGATACACAGACATAGAGATACACACACTACAGACACTGATACACATTACACACATACAGTATACACAAACTACACAGTACACACATACACATACACACTACACTTACACAGATACACACTACACACACAAACACACACTACAAACATTACACACATACAAACACACAGATACCCACAATACATACAGATACACACACTACACAGATACACATACAGGTACACACATACACACACTACACATACACATATACACACATTTGTGTAATGTGTATCAGTGTCTGTAGTGTGTGTATCTCTATGTCTGTGTATCTGCAGGCATGTCAGTGTGTCTGTACATCTGTAGGCTTCCTGCACCATATGGAAGAAGAGAAAAAAAAACAGAAAAAAAAAACAGCAAGTGGATCCGGGATCGGGTTCTGGAGACATAGGGGCATTTCTCTGCGCAGCCTTGCGGCCTGCAATCCCCAAGATGGCACCTGAGACTTATGTCTCACAGTCCCCTGATGAGGACAGCATCTATGCTGAGCCTAAAACACTGAACTGGGCGCAACAGACACCCCAGGGGCCCCTGGACTTGGGTGACTCTGCAGCCTCCACCATGGCCAACATTAAAGCTTTGATGAAGGACATTAAGTCCCTGTTCCAAGCAGACATGGCACTGGTGAGGGAAGATGTTGCCACGCACCAGACTAGCACAAAACGCCACCGACGCTGCACTGAGCTTCCTATGCAAGCAATGTGCATGCCAGCAAGGACAATTGGCCAGCATTGAAGATAGGAACAAGGCACGAAACCTGAGGGTCCGAGGAGTACCGGAGACAATCTCTGGCACTGAACTGCCACATTTTTACCGAAAGCTTATAGCAATATTACTGACACCACAACAAGCCAAGCAAGTGATGATTGCAATTATATTAACTCTGCTTATTTAGACAATGCACATTGAAACAATAATACTGTATAAGAGCCCAATCTATATGTTGGGGCTATATTCAGTAGTCAACGCTAGTGGGTCAAGTTAGGGTGCCTGGTGTTTGATCCTTGGACAAATGCAGCCTCTGTAAGAAGGCATTAGCATCCCCTATGGAAGAGAGGGTAAGTGCTGCATCACCTTTAGTCATTATTAGAGATCCATCTGCTCCCCAGTGGTACTTGATCGCGGCGATCCGCAGTTGCTTTGCTATCGACACCAGTTGATATTGCAAATGGTATATCCCCATAGATCACAACTGTGTAGCCCTCAAATTGTATATTTCCCAGTTCTCTGAAATGGTTCATGATGGTAGTTCGAACCACAACATCTGTTGTAACCGTTATGGTGTCTCTTGGAATTCCAGGAGGTGTAGCAGCAGCTTTGCAAACTCGGAAAGCAGTTGTTAGTAGTGCTCGGTCTGCGCTCCCTTTAATTCCCATGAAAGCTAGAAGCCTCTGAGTGAAGGGCAGCAGGGCATCCCCTCATAACATTCTCTGGGACACCTCTCAGGCATATATTGCGTCTTCTGTGCCTGGTTTTGAGTGCTGTGACTGATCTGGTAAGTATTTGAACCTGCTGGGACAGGCTGTCTACTTGAGTTTGGGTGTTCTGCAGTTTGCTCTCCAGGCACTCTCTTTATCTTCTGCTGCCTCTATTTTTTGTCTGTGCCTCCAGGAGGTTGGCCTTCCAGACCTTCCTCACATCTTGTAGGAGACTTTTAATATCTCCTTTAGTGGCTGGAGAAGAGTCTTCGTCGGAGTCTGAGTCCTGATAGACATTTGTCGCTCGGGAAGAGGTTAGCTCGACGAAACAGGTCTCTCGAAAGACTGCCTGATATCAGGCATTTTCGGGGTCTCAGGGTACTCAGGTGCTTGTGTCCCATGATGTCTCTTTCTGGGGGTAGGTAATTTCGAGGGTCTTGTGGAGCTTTTGGGTCTATTTTGCGGCTAGTATTTTGAATTCCGAACAGAGCTCCACAAAAACACGTCTGTGCTGTAGCTTAGTCGACCACGCCTCCCTCATTTTGCATTTTTTTTAATAGTAAATGAGAATTTATGAATATGTCACATCAAATTAAATTTCCTTTTGTCCTCTAAAAAATTATATCTAATATGTGTTGGTGAAATAAATGAGAGAGATGCAAATTGCGGTTGAACACAAACAGCAAAAATTGCTTGTGTCCTTAAGAGTATGTCCAGCTTCTGAAGCTGTGTCCTTAAGGGGTTAAGGAAAACAAGAAAACAAACACCCCCCCCAAAAAAATATTGTCAAATCTCAAAGGCATAAAGGCTGCTTAGCAAGAGAGAGAGAGAGAGAGTAGTGAGTAGTG